TGATATCATTAGAAAATGAACAAATCTCAGAGCAGTCTACCTGTAGTACCTACATGTATATGTATAATATCAAAGTAATCGGACTTGTGGTTATTCGCACCAAGTCGAAAATATCACTTTTTACCAAAAATTACAAAAATATTCATCAAAATTAGAGAATTGAAGATATCATCATGAAATGAACAAATCTAAGAGAGGTCTTCCCAAGGTACATATACACAAAATATCAAAGCAATAAGGCTTGTAGTTTTCATGAAGAAATTGAAAAAGTAAAAAGTTGACATGGACAACGGACAATCACTCATATGATACGCTCCACTCGACTAAGTTGACAGCGGAGCTAAAAATGTAGGTATACTATCAGAAATTATGAAAGGTGCCAGGATGTGTGACCTTTAGGGTTAGTGCACAACACCCATTGCAGGTCTAGGTTTAGAGAAGCTGCATGACTAATCACCAGGAGTGGCATTTAAATTTTTTTAAATTTAGTTTTAATTTGAGACATTTAAATAAATAAGGTATGTGTGCTACAAATGCAACACAAATATTGTTAATTTCTTGTCACCTTTTTTCAGAAATCGTTTATCAATCCCTGGTAAAAAGGAAGCAGCAAATATACAATAGATAAATGACAGGTAATTTTATTATTCACACAACTGTTTATATTGAAGATCTACAGAAATTTGAATCTAAGTTTTGTGAAATCTTCTATACTTGGATGTAGCAATGAACAACTGCAGTAAATGTCCTCATACTGTACATTACAGGCATCACACCACAACTAGAATAAGCACAGATAATGCAAGAACTTAACATCTTGAACACCTGATTTTTTTGGCCACAATGTTACAACATTTTGCACAGTTTTTTTTTCAATTTCAACCAAGAACTAATCAAGTAATCTGGGACACTCCAGTCATACATGTAGCATATCATTGAAATCTGTTTAGTGGCTTATGAGATATATTTGAAAAACCTTAAATTGGGAAATTTGAAAATTATTCACAAAATTCTGTTAAAAACTACATGTCTGAAATATTCAAAGCACCTATGTACAAAGTGTTATGGAAAATATGAGTGGTCATTAGTTACCTATTATGCAAATTAGATAATTAGTATGCATTAAAATATGTAGTGAAGTCATTACAATTTGCTACTCAGAAATGAGGTCGAGAAAAACAAAACAAGGAAGTTGATTTAATCTCTTTAGAAATTAAAAATACTTTATTTTTCTCAATATAGATGTATATTAATAATAGACCAATTTCATGTCTAGCGCCCTCACTACTTTCTGTCTGCTAAAACTCAGAATGAGGCCAATGGGGATATAAGCTATGATGATCACACACAGTTCTACATAATGGCACTACTCAGTGTTTACTCATTTAGTTGCAGGTACACGATGATAATTTTTACATAGAAAAAATGTCAAAAAAACAGCTATTTGAAGAAGTTAAAATTAACACATCACCTGTTATTCATGGAGCGGTGTGTTAAATAATATACAACAATGTAATAAAACCGTGAGATTGCTTAGATGCTTAGATCCTTGATGCATAATAATGGTACATTGCTAACATAAAATAACCTCCCCATAAAGTACCAGGATATGTGACCTTAGGGTCATGTCAACTTGAATTTACACTCTAAATTTGTACAATCCTAATTCACTTCATTGTTGTTCAAATGTTGTATAGGTATAGTCATAAAGTAAACACACTTTTAAAATACACAAAGGAAAACACATCAAAGCTAAACAGAAAAATATCTATCTGCAAATTCATTGTAATAAAATACAATACAAACAGCGGCTTTATAGTTCATTGTTAAATAGATGCACTTGAGACTCTAGAGGGCGCATCACAACCAATAGGATAACCAAATGACACCAAGCGACAGAATAAATGAAACAATTCCCTTTGTTTTTCTGTAGAGAATAGTGTATTAATAGAATCCAGTGAAAAGTGTATCAGCAGATATCATCTCATTCAGATACACCACCCAGGCTTTGTTGTCATAGCAACGCAGTGTTGCACCATCCAGATTAATCTGTGTAACATCAGTGTCCCTCGTCTCAGCTGCTTTTTTCTCAAGCTGTATAATGTTCACTAAGTCCAGACCTGTTTGTACAGCACTGACACCAGCAGCACATCCTAGTGTCATATGTGCACGGCTACCAACACCACTTGTTGGACGATAATTTAACACTAGGCTGCTGTTGTATTGTTCCATATCAATCGAGTCGCTATCTGAGGAATCACAAAGGTCATCAAACTCTGTACTGTTGCTATTAGCAACACCACCTTGACGAGGCCTCCAGCCTCTTGCTTTCATCTGTAGAGCAATTTGCGCTTCTTTCCTATTAGCAATTTCCAGTTTATCTTCTTGTCCCCAAAGTGTAATTTCTTGGGGCGTAAGTTTGATCCTCACACCAAATGTCCTCGAAGTGATGAAGAAACCAATGAAGTGAAGAGTGAATGCTTTACCAATTGATTTTCGCACAACATCTTTGTTAGCGTACTCGTAACTCTCGGGAACCTTGCCCCTGCCGCAAAACATCGCAGTACAATGCAGCATGTGCGAACCAGTGCTGAAGGTCTCAGAGGAAAAGTAATCGTCAAAATTTAACCTTGCATTGGGATCTACAAAAAGAAACATATTATTGTTAGAAGGTTTGATGTAAAAACTTGTTGATTACAGTCTGTTTACAGACATAATTATATTATGTCGTGTGTTATGTGTTTTCAGTATGCTTGGAAGTTAAAGCCAAAGTAAATTTCAGTTTTGTATCTACTGAGCAGCTTACTTAGCATAATGCAATGCATCATTGGAAAAAAATTCAAGATTTTTATTTGCTGAATAGACTAGTATATAAGAAAGTCTACATACATGTATGTTGATATCTATTTTTTTTTAAATATAGGTTTAGACACATTGTTGCATTATATTGAGTCATGTATTACCCTCCCCCTCTCAATATTCTCATATAACCCACATACAGTACTATCACATTTATATAAACAATTTGGTTTGTGACCCAATTATTTTCACATATGGCATTGTATAACAATAAGCAATCTATTCAAAATTACAAAGAATTTCAAGAAACTATATTTAGCAACCCTTAATAATATGGTATGAAAAGTATAAAAAAAAATTGACATTGGTTTAGGTTTTGGGTCAAAAATCATGAGACTGAGAGATTCCAAATACAGGTGAAAAAGCAGGGCCAATAAGTGTCAAAGATCATAATGGAGGGTCAAAATGGTCATGAAGGAGTGTCACAAATCATGATGGAGGGAAAATATTATGATGGAGGAAAAATATCATGATGGAGGGGCAGAAATTATGACAGAGGGTCAAAAATCAGGAATTGACCAATCTAGAAATAGTATTGTGACATCATCTTAGTAAGTTC